TTTTTTTTTTAGTTTACTCCTATTTCTTAGCTCCCATTTCATCCACTGTATTTAGTTTATATTCCACAAGGTAGGGGACATTTTTTAAGTTTTCATATAAAAATCATTTCCTTTATATATATATACTCAATATCAACAACTAACACTCACAAAAGATACTGATGTATGACAGTAGTTCTCGACATGACTTTAAGTATGTCATCTGCTCAAGTGCTTCTTTAATCTCATTTCATTCAGTGTTGTGGCTAGGCGACATCAGTTCGGTACTGACTCATAACGCCTCTATGCGTAACAGAACGAAACACTGCCCGGTCCTGGGCCAATCTCACAATTGTTGCTATGCTTGAGCCCACTGATGCTGCCACTTTGCCAATCCATCTCGCTGGAGGTCTTCCTCTTTTTCTCTAATCCTCCACCTTACCAAACACGATATCCTTCTCCAATGACTAGTCCCTCCTGTCAATATGTCTGAAGTATGAGAGACGAAGTTTAGCTCTCCTGGCCTACAAGGAGCACCTTGGCTGTACTTCTTCCAACACAGATTTGTTGGTTCTTTTGGCAGCCCATGACACTTTTGATATTCTCCTACAATACCGTAACTCAAAAGTATCAATTCTTCTATGGTCTTCCTTATTTGCTATCCAGCTTTTGCATGCTTATGAGGGTATTGAAAATATCATGCTTTGGGTCAGGCGCACCTTAGTTCTCAAGCTGTCATTTTTGCTCTTCAACACTTTAAAAAGGACTTGTGTAGCAGGTTTGCCTAATGCAATACATCCTCTGCTTTCTTGACTGTTGCTTCCATGAGTGTTGATAGTTGATCCAAGAATGAAGTTCTTGACAACTTCAATCTTTTCTCCGTTGCTAAGAATGTTGTTTATTGGTCCAGTGGTGAGGATTTTTGTTCTCTTTACATTGAGATGCAATCTATACCAAAGACTGTGGTCTTGCTTTTCATCAGTAAGAATTTTAAGTCTTCACTTTCAGCAAGCAAGGTAGTATCATCTGCACATGTGTTTAATGCCTCCACTGTGCATCTACACTAAGTGCCAGATGGACTGGAGAAAAGTATTGTCTATGAATATTTCCACATTTATTTCTTCAGAAGGTAAATAATTACTTCACAGGGACAGTGGTCAGCACTCTAAACAACCACTTCACTGAATAGTCTCAACAATATTGTATTGTTATCACCAATTCTGTTATTGTTAAGTGCTGTCTATTCTTACTCATAGGAATGGTTCAGAGCTTGTCTATATAGGGTTTCTAAGGAGCAATTTAGAGGCTCAGAAAAGCACATTAGTTTCCAAAGGGCACCAAGTGAGGAGTTTGAACTCAGTTCAGCGTGGTCCCACTTCTGCCATGCAGGACATATTTAATCTGCTTTGGCCCAGCTTCTCTCCAGCACTAGTCTTCCAAGCTTTTCTCAGTGCCTTTCTATTATTTATTTGGTTTTACATCGCTTTATTTGGCATCTACACTTGGAAAACTATGAAACTCAAGTTTCCATTAGTTTTTTTTTTCTGAAATATTCCCTTTTTGCACTGCTGTTACTTTTTACACAGTGATGTAGAGCCTTTTGCATTATTCCAAGCGTGAGTAGTGAATTCTTGAATTCTCAATGATCTCTCATAACACAAATTTTAGAAAACAGATATATTTTTAGAATTCAGTTATTTTTTAATGTATTTGACTTATACTTGTGAACATTGTGTAAAAATTATAATTTGCTGCTGTAAGAGTAACTGCAACTAATGGCCTCTACTTGGTTACATCCAGTTGGTTCCAACTCATAGCAACCCTGCATGTGGTTCTGAGGCTGCAAATCTTTGTGGGAGCAGAAAGTCACATCTTTCTCCCTCAGAGTGGCTGGTAGGCTCAAACCACTGACCTTGTGGTTCTGAGTTCAGTGTGTGCCATGAGGTGGTTCCAACTCATAGTGACCTGAGGATGTAAATCTTTACAGGAGCAGGAAGCTTCCTCTTTCTCCTGCAGAGGGGCTGGTAGTTTCGAATTGCTGACCTTGAGGTTAGCAGCCACACTCCTAACCTCTAAGCTACCAGAGCGCCTTCAGTTCAGGGTGTTGTTAAGTGCTGTTAAGTGGATGCTGACCCATAATGACCCTGTATAGGGTTTCCAAGGAGCAGCTGGTGAGCTTGAAACAGCAACCTTGCAGTTCAAAGGACTTTGCAGTCTGACACATTAGCCCACAGTGCCATCCCACGGTGTTGTTGTTGTTGTTATGTGCTGTGCAGTCGGTTCTGACTCATCGGGTAACCATACAAATAAGGAGTCCTGATGACCCAATGGTTAGGTTCTCAGTTTCTAGCGGAAAGGCTGTTGACTTGAACCCACCAACAGCTCAGCAGGAGGAAAATGTAGGATGTTTACGTAAAGACTTGAACCCTTATGGGGGCATTTCTATTCTGTCCCATAGCATTGTTATGAGTTGTCATCTACCTGATGGTTTAGTAACCTTAAAAGTCAACCAAGACAATTTATATTAAAGAATCCTTGAGTCCCCAGTCTGCGCTTATTGTTCTTATTAAGTGCTGTCAAGTTGGTTCCAACTCATATCAACCCTGTATATGGTTTCCAATGAGCAGTTGGTAGGTTTGAACCACCAACCTTGTAGTTAGCAGTCCAGTGTTGATTCTACAGTAACAGAATCCGTAATATATAACTAAGGTTGTTTTCTTTCTTTTGTAAAATGCAGCTTCAGTTCTAAGGATGATGTTTGCTAAAACGTTATCCTTAGAAGTTTTGATTTAAAAAAAAGCATTTATTAAGTTAATCAATAGATGAAGAGTTGTTACAAAACAGAACCCAAGCCTGCTTTGGTTGGTACTCCCTGGGAAAAATGACATAGGCCAAAAGGCACTTACTCATCTCCTCCTTCCCATAAATACAGTGTTTGGCAAGGAAGTAGTATTTTTCCTGTTTACATTTCCCAAGTTTTAGTACTAAGTTCTTTGTCTTTCCTACCTGCAAGATTTGGGAGGAAAGAAATTTACTAATATACTTAAGATGACTGACTTTAGTAAATTTGAGATGACGAGAAATGTGATGAAATACTACATTCTCTTTCAAAAGTACAAGTATGCTAAGGTAACTTCCAAGAGAGCAAAGGAGGCATCCATGCCTAGGCCTCTTTCCTCTATCAATAATGTCCTCTCCTCTCCTCCCATCCTCACTTGCTTGGAATCCTTTTTTGAGTCCATTTCAAACAGTGTTGCCAGCCTAAAAGTCCCTTACCTTTCCACAGCATCCCCACTCCCTAACCTCCTGGGTGGTCTTTAGACATTCCAATCTGATTCCCACCACATGTATCCAGAGCAACAGGGACATATTTTCTCATCTTTATAAACCCTGTGGCCTTTTTTTTTTTTTTTAAAGCAAAAAATCAATGAACACTTAATTAAGTGACAAGATTTTGGGAATGACACTTTGAAGAGTCAACACTTTTCAAATAAAATGTTATGTTGAAAAGATAAAAATTATCTCTATATATGATTCATTAAAATTCCACTATGTCTCTATCTTGGTCAAGTCTCGCTGGCAGTTTTATCACATTACCCATTTTGGCTTTCTTCACAGCAGTGGTGACAGTGACATTTTATTGACTGCTGAATCCACATCAAAACCTCACTGCCATTGTGCAGAGCTGCTGCGGAGGATTTCTCAGGCACTGTAGGATGAGCACTGTCAGTTTGAACTGCAACGTGGGCAGTTCAAACTCATCCTATACAGGGCTGCCAAGAGTTGGAACCGACTTGATGGCACTCAACAAATCTTTACAGGGATTCCTGGTATGGCATTGGACTGCAAAGCACAAGATTGGCAGTTCAAACGCATGAGCTGCTTTTTGCAAACCATATGAATCGGATTTGACTCGACAACACTTAAAAACAACAAATCTTTACAGGAGCAGACAACCCGACCTTTTTCCTGCAAGCAGCTGGTGAGTTTGAACCGTGGACATTTTGGTTAGCAGTACAAATCATAATCCATGGCACCACCAGGCCTCCTATAGCTGATGCCAACTGCTTGCTAATTGCTAGCTGGTCTAGCAGCTTGTCAGGAGAGAAAGTAAAAAATTCATTGTATTTGGCTGTTTCTGAAGTTTGCTTTCAAATCACTACAACATTCCAAATGCTGATTCTGCAGAACGTGGGTGTTTTGGAGTTGCAGGATTCCATTCCTCAACCCTCCAAGCCTGGGTGGCTCAATTAATGCCAGGTTTTTCAAAAGACGAATTTTTCTCTTTATATTCCCCAATCTGATTTCTGTGTCTGGCACATTACAGATGTTTAAAATCACTTAATTCTAAATTGTTTTAGATGTCGAAATCAGGGCACCATTTCCGGTGGTAGTAGGTTACGCGTTGGACTGCTAATGCACAAAGTGCGCGGTTCAAACCCACTAGCTAATCGGAGGGAGACAGAGGGGCCGTCTGCCGCCATAAAGATGTACCAGTCTACGGTCTTAGAAGGTCGCTAAGAGTCGGAATCGACGCGATGGCAGTATACTTGGCGCCCTGAAGGCATAATGGTTAAGTTACTAACGGATGGCTTGGCTAACAAGTTTAAATCCTCCCGCCTGCTCTAAGGAGAAAAGTTCTGCGGATTTGCCTTTAAAGGTTACCACTAAGACATCTAACGTAGATCCCAATGATTCCAACTCATACTCCCAGGAAGTCTCAGTTCTACTGTCACACTGTGTGCCAATGAGACAGAACCGACGCCATGGCACCGAACAGCGTAGCTATAAAACCACCTGGCTGGGCGACCCTTGTTGAGGAAGCAGTTTGCCAAGCGCTGAGAAGTACAGAAGATGAGATGGCTTTTGTTTCAAGAAAACATTCACAGAATGACTTATTAACGGCACTCAGAGACTTAAAGGCATTTACAAAGAGACAGAAGAGTGTGTGGCTCCAAAACAGTGGGGGCCACAGAAAATTACAAGGTGGTGTGGTATTCAAACAGGGGCGCTCCGAGCACCACGCAAACGCAGGCAGTTCGATCCTTCTCGTGCACCGTAGACAACCTTTCGGGATCTGCATCGGCCCCATCCCCGACGTGGGTGACGTCATGGGGCTGTCCGCGCGGTGCCTGTTGCGCGCGCCAATGCCTGACCCGGCAGAGACGGAAGAATCGCAGTTATCTCGGCTTCTGAACCCTCTCAATCCGGAAACAGACACCGCCGGAGCCTGGCACTGGAAGGGCCACCCCTTCCTTTGGAGGATGTGCACATGCGCGCAGGGGTCCTGAGGCTCCTTAAATATCGTCCTGCGAGCATGTACGCTCTCTTTCCCAGTTGCCGCCGAGCTGTGCGGAGGCGGAGGCCCGGGGTGAGTGTGGCGCGGGTGATGGCGATTTCGTGCTAGCTGTGGTGATTAGCATTTGTCCTTCAACAAAGCTGCTTAATTAACCGGTTGGGGGTCTTAATTGTCTTTTTCAGTGCGTTCAAGATTCCGCTCCACCCGTAACCTACCGCCATGGCCGAGGAAGGGTGAGTTCGACCTAGTGCGGAAGTATTTAGGCTTAAAGCCGGCGGGGCGGGACCAAACCGACAGCAGTCAAGTCGTGTCCCGACTCAATACAGACCCTGTGCAACATAAGTGCTCCATTGGCTATACGGAAACAGACGGCTTCAGCCTTATCGCGTTAGGTAGTGGGGACGTTTCCTCTGAAAACTACTAATGGTTCTGGCTTGGTTGCAGCATTGCTGCTGGAGGTGTAATGGACGTTAACACTGCTTTACAAGAGGTGCTCAAGACCGCCCTCATCCATGATGGCTTAGCACGTGGAATTCGCGAAGCTGCCAAAGCCCTAGACAAGTACGTATATTGCCAAAGGAAGAAAACATGAAGTCCTGGGGTTTAGCAGAAATTGTGAAAAAGTACTGAAGGGTTTCCCTTCCACAGGAAATCTAGGAAACGGTATCAGGCTTAGATTTACCAAACCTTCTGAAATAGTTTTTGGAGTGGGAGGGTGCAAGTGGTTTTTGAATAAAACTACAGTGTTTGAATGATGACTTATGTTGTCGGATACCCCTTCATGATTTCCATGAGTGAAGCCTAAGAGTCTGACAAACCTGTAGGTTTTGGAGCTAGTCAAGTAAAGACAAATCTAGAAGGGATTTTTTAGTAAGCTGTAAAGTTACTGTATAAACTGGAAGTCAGCGTTTGAAGCATTTGTTATATATGCTAGGTGTAGTCAAGTTCTCTAGCCTGGTTACATTGGCGAAACAATTGCATGCACTTAGTTACTATTTGAGCTGAATTTAAATGTATTTCAATGGTTTCCAAACCAGATAAATTTTGTCAGTTTAATTTAGTTTGGTGTAGACTGGCCAGTTGAATCCAGTGGAAACAGTCGCCTTGTTGGATGTACATCAGCAGGCCCTTGCACCATTTCTACCTTGTCAATGCTGCACAATGTTAATGCAGTGTCTGAGCCAGTAACAGGTAACAACTCTTTACTTGGTAATTTATACCTTACATAACAGTGCTTTTGTCTGCAAGAAATTGATCTACAAGAAAAGTAGAACTTTCTAAGGCCATAAATCCTGTACAAGTAGATAGTCAAAAAAGATGGAACATTGCTGATGGTATAGAAATATTTGTTCTGCTACTAGATTAAATCTGACTTGCAGTGTTGTGCACTATTGTGCTACCTGCTGTGAATGCTGATGCTTGTGTTTTGCCAGTATAGCCAGTGCAAAATTGATCCGCTTGTAATAGTTAAAGAACAGTGGATTTAGACTTGAATGGTAATAAAGGAGCGTTTTGCTTTTCAGGCGCCAAGCCCATCTTTGTGTGCTTGCATCCAACTGCGATGAGCCTATGTATGTCAAGTTAGTCGAGGCCTTGTGTGCTGAACACCAAATCAACCTGATAAAGGTAAGTTGGTTAAGGGACAGATTGCTGTTATATGCCCTGAGTTGGTTCCAACTCTGACTTAGTAGGGTTTCTGAAGAGAAACCTCTGAGTTTGAACTGCTGCCCTATTAGCAGCCCAGTTTTGAAACCCACTAATTGTAAGATACTTGTTAACGTGATACAGTTAAATGCTAAGTGTAGGATAAACACCTGATTGGATCCTTGGAACCCCTGTACAGGGTTGCAATATGAACAGTACTTAAAAACCAAATGGAATCCTGGTGTGGTGATTTAGCATAATCAGTGAATTGCTAGACCATAGGGCTGGTGGTTCAAATCCACCAGCTGGTAATTCAGAAACCCTTAGAGAACCACTGAGTCTGAATCAGCTCAATAGCACAGAATTAATGGATATAGAGTTCTTAACAGGTGAACCTTGTGTGTGCTGTAAATGATGACAACTGGCTCCCTCTACTGAATCTAGTGAGGAAATTGCCATGTCACCAATTCTGACTACAGCCACTCTTGGGAGTTTATTATAGTGTGTAGCATTATTCCTGTTGATACAGTGATGTGTATTTCTCTTAATAGGTTGATGACAACAAGAAGTTAGGGGAATGGGTAGGCCTCTGCAAAATCGACCGAGAGGGAAAACCTCGCAAAGTGGTTGGTTGCAGTTGTGTGGTTGTTAAGGTAAGTTACCATATCACTATAAAAGCTAATTTATTTTTTCTTTAAATTTAACATGACAAATGAACTTATTTGTGGAAACTAAATTGGGAAAGGATAGGAAAGGTCAGTCTACCCCATAATTTTGTATTAGTTTGCCCTCAGTTCCTGTTACATTAGAGGATAATAATTAAATGTAGTTATGATTCTGACCCATAACGACGACTATGTACGAGGCTTCCAAGGAGTGGCTAGTGGATATGAGCCACCCACCCTGTGGTCAGTAGTCCAGTGAGTTTTTTTTATTCATTGGATCAATGATCATTTTAAGAATTGAAGTGTATGTGTACCTGCAAATGTAAAAAAACAAAAGGCTAAACCATTCACTATGGAGCCAATGGCAAGTGTGTCAGGGCAGAATTTTGCTCTGTAAGGGTTTTAGAATATGTCACCTTTTAGATTGGCAGGTGCTTCTTCTGAAGAGCCACTGATAGGACTTGAAACTTCAGCCTTTCAATTAGCCATGTGCTTAATCATTTGGCATCCAGGAACTCCTGTGCTGATGTATAACTACATGCAATTATTGTGAACACTTTATAGTTCTGTAAAAACTACAAGCTAATTTAAAATGAAAGGTTAACTTGCGTAAAAAGGAAGATTTTAAGTGATACTTGAAGCCAGCCATTGACTCTGCTTACCTGAAAGTGTTTGCAGAAATGAAAAAGCTGGCAATAGTGAAGCCATGTTATGAGCCTTAAAGATAATTGTGATCATTAAGGTCCCTGAGAATGGCTACAGCTAATGATTAAAGGGACGTTTCAGGTTTTTAAATTGGTGCCAAGAACCTATTGATTATAATACCAATTTTTGCTTTGTTTTTTTTTTTGATTGCTTCTGGGAATGTCTCTCCAGGGATGTCTTTGATTGATGTTTCTTTTGCATGCAATGAGTTAGTTAATAAAACTTTTCTCTACATGTTGTTTTTTTTTTTTAAGTCTGTTACTGAAAGGGGAAAAACCCTCCAAGGTGGGCAGTTAAAATTCACCGGCTACTCCATTTCTTGGTGTGTGGAGACCTGGTGTGGTGCTATTGTGTTTGCATTGGTAAACAGCACTGAACAGGGCAGAAATCATAACTAGTACCTGAACTAATTTGGTTGTCAGCTGTAAATCCTGGTGACAGGCCTGGCGACAGGTCTTCTGAACTGGTTATGCACCCAGACAAACTGGCTATGTTGGGATAAGTGTTGAGTCAGTTCTGACTCAATGACCCCATCCTAAAGGTTCAACTGGAAACCCACTGGGCTTGGTGGTATAGGTACAGGCATCATTTCACTCCATTATGCCTGGGTGGGTGTGCTGTGGGTCAAGTGTGCTGGACTGCAGTTGGTTTGGACCACAAGTTGCTCACCAGCTCAGAAATCTTATACAGGCTATGGATTGAAACTGATAGCACTTAACTCTTACCCTAAATCTAAATTGTTGGGTGTTATCAGTACAGAACAAAGTGCCACCTCAGTACCAATTCTCCAGGAATCGGTCGCTCCTGATTATTCAGACACTGTGGAGGGTCTCCTAGCAGCAGCTCCTGAGCTTGAACTGCCAACCTTGTGAATCAAACTGCTGCCCAGTATATTATCCCACACTGCTACACCATGACCCCACCCCAAACAGGTTGAAGTATGGTGAAAGAGCCCATGGCACACAGTGTTCCCTTGTTCTGTTTGAACAACTATCTCTTGGTCTACAGCAATAATACCCTTTCCACATCCACTTCTAAATCCAGCTTGAATCTTGCAGTTCTGTGGGGGTACAGTTGTAGTAGGTTTTGGATTACCTTTAGCAAAATTCTACTTGGCATGTGAATTATCTAAGCACTGCTACTTAAAATGCCATCCATTCACTTTCATCTTGGGATCGGTTTTGTTCTGATTGCTGAAGCAGATTTATAGGGTCACCAACTACCTCCCTATCAGTCAAGGCCAATAGCTCCTTTACAATACTACTTTCCTGGCCTAATTCTAACATTGACACTCCAGGACCCCTCTTCAGGGGTTGGTCCGTCCTGGTGTGGTGCTGTGGGTTAATGTGCCAGACTGCAAAGCCATTTGAAATAAAAGGGCTATTAGAACTCAGCAGCTGCTCCTTGGAAACCCTATACAGGGTCACTGGGTTGGAATCAACTCCACACCTTCCTGGTGTGACATGGGCTAATGCATCAGATTGCAAAATCATTTGAACTGCAAGGTTGGTGGTTCAAGCTCACCAGCTGCTCCTCAGAAATCCTATTGTTATGTGCCGTGGAGTCGGAACCGACTCATAGTGACCCTGTACAGGGTTTCCGAGGGTGTAAATCTTTCCGGGAGTAGAAAGCCTCATCTTTCTCCCGCGGAGCAGCTGGTAATTTCGAACTGCTGACCTTGCGGTTCACAGCCCGAATCGTAACCACTACACTACCAGAGCTACCTCAGAAACCCTATACAGGACCCCTATGTGTGGGTACCGACTTGACAGCAGTTAACAGCAACCCTCCTAATAACGTGTCTGAAGAGAAATGCAAGTGACATTGTCATGGCTGTTACAGAGCTATCTGGCTGTATTTCTTTGAACACAGATTTGTTCTGGCAGTCCATGATACTTGGGATAATCTCTAACACAATAACTCAAATACATAGTTATTTTTATGGCCATACTATAACTGCAATCCACTCCAAACTGCACTATAGCTTCCGGTGAACATAAAGCTTCCGGTGAACACCCCTTCCTCCATTAAAATATTGTTTGTATCCTTCAAAGGGAACCTTACCATCTTCCCCTATAAAACCTGTTTTTAATAGGAAAGAAAAGTTACTGAACATCAAGTCCTTACCAGGCTCAAATAGCACATGAGTCTTACTGTTGTAGTTTGCCTGTAAAGTCTTTTGTGGGATTCACAAGGAAGCCCATCCAAGCAGCAGTGCCAGGACAAAAGCCCATGTCTTCCTTTTTAATTGGGGAATGTTAAGTGTCATCAAGTCAGTTCCAACTCTTAGCAACCCTGCATAGGGTTCTCAAGAGGCAGCTAGTGAGTTTGAACTACTAACCTTGTGGTTCACGGTCCAGTGCTGATCCCATAGCACCACACCTGGAGGTCTAGTTTTATAAAATGAGTGGTTGCATGTCCTTAGAAACTTCAGTTGAAGGCATCTTTCATGTATGTAAATGAGAGATTTCTGATCCAAGCACTTAACATTCTTTTCTTACCAAGGAGACTCAGACTTCTCTTTTTACATTGGCTACAAGACACCTCCATGCCAAATACTCTTATTTCATTTGCTAATGCTGTAGTTCTACTTTGTTTTTTCCAGTTATGATTGTATTGCTATTTATCATTA